TTCAGTTTAAACTTGAAAAGAGATAGACTCTGAGTGAGACAGTGCTGCTAAGAAAATTAAATCACTGATAACTAAAAGAATATAAACTTCTACTGCTGAATGATTCAGTCTTCATCTCTTATAGTAGAGTGATGTATTAGAAGTTATTAAGAATTCATTATAATAATTCTCATATGAGACACTTCAGATTAGAGAAGACTGAGAAGCTTCTAAAATATAAATATATTTAAGACAAGCTCTGAGCAGATATCAAAGAGTATGTTAAAACTTATAATATCTATCAGAGAATAAAGATTCTGTGATATAAGTAATACAGTGAGTTAATATCACTGTCTATTTTAAAGAGCTTATAGCAGAATCTATTAATGAATTTCATAGTTAATCTACTGAAGTTAACAAGAGTCAAAAAATATAACTTAATTTTAATTATTATTAACTACTTTATAAAGATGATCAGATATATCTTTATTTATAAAAAGATTAAAGTCTCTGAATTGACTGATCTGTTTTTAGATATTATTATTTATAATCACAGTGCTTTAAAATTATTAATAATAGATTAAGAATTTCTCTTTATCAGTAAGTACTGATCAGTCTTTTACTATTATCTTATAATAAGACATCTTCTCAGTACTGCAATTTATCTACAGATAGATAATCAGATTAAATATCAGAATCAGATATTAGAACAGCATCTTCAAGTGTTCTATTTATATTATTAGAATAATTGACTTAAACATCTTCTAATCACTGAATTCATATATAATAATGTAAAGAATATAATCTTAAAAGTATCTTCTTTCTATACTTATTATGAATATAACTCTTCATTATTCAGTGACATCATGAATAACATTTCAAAGAAGAGAATAGATAGTCAGAATATTAAACAGATACAGAGAATAGAGTATTTCTCAGTATTAGAAGTAAAAGTGAGATTAAAACTTTTAAATAAAATTTATAAGAAGATGATAAAAAGCATCTACTATACTCAGAAGTGATAGATGAAATATTATAATTAAAAACATCTTTCAATGAAGTTCTTGATAGAGAATCAAGTACTACTTTTAATAAAGAATATTAAGATAATAAGACTGTGTAAGAAGCTCAGTGAGTGATAACTAGAATCTTTTTCAGTAATAAGAGTAATAAGTAAGTAGATATATAAGTTAAAATTACTCTCAGAATTGAAATCAATTCATTCTATTTTTCACATTTTCTATTTAAAGCTCTATAAGTAATATCTTGAGATAAAGCTATCTCAGCTGAATGATATTGAGATTAAGAGTGATATTAAATATCTTATAAAGAAAATATTAAATAAGTGAATATATTACAGTAAGCTTCAATATCTTATTAAATAAGACAATTATTCATTATCAGAGAATCTATGAAAATCACTTAAGTATTTGAAAAATACTGAGAAAGAGATTGCAAGCTATGAAATGACTAGTAGAGATTATCTTATTATATATCAGAGATATTGAATAAGAAATACTGCTTAAAACTTCTTATTTTTTCTTAAAGAATTTTTTTAGAGATAATCTTACAGTGATAAGCTGATATCTTATAAACTCTGTAACACTCTTCTTCTATTTTCTCTCAAAGAATTTTTTAGAAGTTTAATGAGACTATATAAGTGTAAAATTTCTGAAGTAGTTAGAGAAAAGAAATATTTAAAATTAATAAAAAGATTAATATTATTAATCTGCAGATCACTGCTATTCTAATAGAGTTACAGCTCACTGAAAAAGTAAAAAGAGAGATCAGAGTCTACTCATTAATAATTATATTCTTATCAAACTCATTTTTCACTATTGAAGTCTCTAACACTGATATCTTTATCTACTGAGAAGTTAGTACTGCAGCACTGTAGAGAAGCATACTATAGAAAAGTATAAAAGATACTTAAAGTATTAACTTATTAATTTACAAAGTATCTCAGTCATCTGTTTCAATTGAAGTGAGATTCTCTTCAATCAGTGATTAATCTCTGTGATACTTTTAATAGCAGCACTGACTAATCTCTTCTTAAGATTAGTTATTCTGAGATATTTTTTCATCTCAGAGATTCATACTTTTATCTTCTTTTACAGATGAGTAAGAGAGATCTTCTTAGTCTTGATAGAATTTATCAATACTTAAAGCTCTGAGATTCTTACTCTGTACTGCTTGAGTATCTGAGCTTTTTATCAGAGTTAATATAATATCTTCTTATAGAGTAGATAATACTTACAGAGAGATAGAAGTTATTATTATAAGTATAATAAAAATAATGAAAGTGAGAGAAGAGATAGATATATAAGATTCTCTTCTTCTTCAGCTGTTTAATATAGTATAGATAAGTAGTGATACTGATTAGAGACTGTATCAAAGTCTTCTCATAGAGAGAAGATAAAGAAACTGCAGAATTCTGTGAACTCAACTCAGTAGTATTCTGAGCAGAGCTCAGATATACTGTAGAAGAAGAACTATAGATTGAGCTTCTTAAAGTCACTGTCTCTGAAATCAAGCTCTTCTCAGAGTTCTCTCTGAATGACTATACAGAGTTATATATTACTATGTTAACTGAGAGAGAGAGTAGTATCACAACAGCAGCAGAAAGAGTAGAAGAAGAACTGAATATAAATGAACTGACTGATAGAAGAGATAACATCTCACTGTAAGATACAGTGACTATCACTGTGACTGTAAGAAAAGTAGAAAGAGAAGAAGAAGAAGATATAATAATAAGAGCAGTACTCTCACAGTCTATTAACATTATTATCTTCATTTTCAACTGAGCTTTCTTAGCAGTTACAGAGACTGCAGCTGCATTATAAAGATATTTATTACTCACTAGAAAATATCAGAATAAGTCTCTTATTATCTCTCAAGAATGATACTCTCATACACTCACTATTATAGATGAGAGAGAGAGAAGAAAAATATATTATAGAAAGAGAAAATCTTTTTAAAGAATTCTATTACTACTGTTAGCTTTATCTCTAAAATACATCACTTTTACAGAGAATTTTATATATAGAACAGAATATAATAAGAGATCTGTAAGTCACTTATTAACTATATTTTTCATATTTTAAATTAATATATAAGAAACTCACTTATCATATACTTAATTTAAATGAAGATGAGAAAAGAAAGATCTACACAGTCAGTAGAAAAACTCATCTATTTCTTTATACAGTATACATACTATTAATCAGTTAATAACTGTTGTTATATAATAAAAATAACTTCTAATTCAGTAATCTTAAGAGCATCAGAACTATATTCTTAAAGAGAAAAGTATTATCATACTCTCAGCTATATTAAGATTTTATTACAGTTTCACATAACTTATCACTTTTATATGAATAATTCTATTCATTCTGCAGATTATCTGAATCAGTTTTCAATCACTCTATAATATTATTTAGATATATCATAGAAGGATTTAATTAATAAATATAAGAATCTTACTTCTATATAAGATTAGCAGATTACTCTTTCTTAATAGTGAGATACAGCTGAGATATTACTCTGACTATTCTTACTTATGAAATAAGAGAAGAGTATTCACTCATTATCTATATAGAATAGCTAGATACTGACTTCTTATTAAAGAAGTCAGTAATTCATTTTTCTTTAACTGAAATATATATAAGAGTTACTGTGTATCTTATACAATCTTCTTAGTATACTAAGTATTATATCTGTGATATTCTTGCAATAACTCTGTAGTCTACAAGCTCATTATTTAAGTAAGATAGTTAAGCTCACTTATACAGCTTCTTAAACAACTATCTTTACATAACACTACTGACTAGTCACTGTTTCAGTTCTGCCACATTACACTAGTATATTTTTAAATACAGGAATTTTGATTCAATTTCTTATATAAAAAAAAGCTTTTAGAAATTCTGAGATTAAAAAACATGATCATTTTTAAGAGTATATATCTATCTTAAATATAGATTTTTTTAAAATATTAAAGAAATATTTCTATTCTTCTTCTCTTTAGTTATAAGCTAAGGTGATTTTCAAATCTCAAAGATATGTGAGTATATAGTAATAGAAAGTCAAAGTTGAAGAATCTGAAAAATTCTTATAAATCTCAGAAATCTTCATTGAAGATGAAACTGTTTCTTCTCAGACTCTCTGACAAGGATTGCTCTGAGCACATGACTTGTATCAAAAGTAGGTTAGTGTCATGCCAGATTAATAATGCTGCAACCCGCTCAAACCGAGCCAGAGGGTCTGAGCCCGCTGAGATAACAACTTTCCAAATTTATCTCCTACAGTTGCCAAATACTCGCCTAGATAGAACTGTCTCGAGGAGCGTGCCGGTGATGGCGACAACGGCAACAGCGCCCCAATACCTCGAAGGTGATACTTCGGCCGACTTTGGCGACTTCGTCAGCACCCAGGATGAGGAGCTTGACTTCGGGGAGGTTATGGAGCCCTGGAAGAAATACGATGAAAAGGACACTGCACATGTCTTATATCCCATTTGCCTCGGACAAGAACTCAATGAGAGAGATACTTGGTAGAGCATAAAATAGGCTCTGGGGGTTTCTCCACCGTATGGATGGCCCGCGACCTCCAGAACAAGCGGGATGTAGCCCTCAAAGTCATGTCTTCGGGGGACGGTGGTGAAAATGAAACCCGCATTCAGGACGAGATCCTTCAGAATGGAAAGGATGTCTCTCGCCTCATGACATATTTCGGTGATGTTTCTCCTCCCTAGAAACAAGTGTCGTCACAAGGTTTTCGTTTTTCCTATGAAGGGCCATGCCTTCACCCTGCAATCTTGAGAAATCTGTCCATAATCACTCGCAGGTCCGCTGCTAGGCAATTGCTGTATGTCTTGAGAAACCTACACAAAGCTGGAATTGTTCACCGTGGTGAGTGAATTTTGCCTTCCACTCTCTGTTCGGTTGATGTGAAATCTAATGGATATCCTACAGATCTGAATGGAAGGAACTGTATGTGGGGCATTGGTTCCTCTCCACAGCTTTAGCAGGAAGGCTAAATACAAAGGCACTTGGTCAGCCGCTAAAGCAAATCATACCGTTTGTCGAACTCTGGAAGCAGGGAGAGCTTGTCCATCCCATTGAGATTCCTATGAATCTCCACACAGAGAAATTTTACCTTGGCGACATTGGTCTGGCAATGAAACTAAGCGATTCTGTGACTCAGCATGGCTACTCATCTATGCAACTCTGCTCTCCAGATTGACTTCATAGGAAATGTCCAGGTTTTGCCTGTGACATGTGTAGTTGCATGGTCATCTTTGCAGAGCTATACCTTGCCCAACCACCTTTCCCTATCCTTCTCAAGGGTGGAATAATATCCGGTATTGTCAGGTGTTGGGGTCCACTGCCTGATGGGTGGAAGGGCCTTTATGCTCACCCCGGAGGTTAGATTCTTGGTATGACCAGCATACAATCCCCCATCCAGAACATGGCCTTGCTTCAACAATCGCATACTTTCGTCCTGAGGCCGATCTAGATGAGCGAAAACATGTGCTCTCCATTCTATCTAGAGTATTTACCTACTACCCGGATAAACGTCTAACTACTACACAGCTACTAAGGTACCCTTCATTCAGAGCTATCATGGACAGATATGGTTGTTGATATCAAGCCACTCGACATAAGAATAAGCAAAAATAGTGGCAGTGAAGTCTTACATAGTAGCAGGGCAGTCCTGGTCCTCCTCCCAAGACCGGATTTTGTCTTTCGCACCTTTTATCCGGTTCTTATCGCGATGTTCCTGCGGAATAAAGCCGCCTGATTATTGTAACTTGACGTGGACTAAAATCTCGCGATTGCCGGAATCAAAGAAACCAGGACCGAAACATCGTAGGGTAGGGTCCGACCGACGTCTATGTAGTAGTCTGACAACTCAGAACCAGGGGTTACCGTGGGAGCATAGATTCTCTAAAGAACGCTCCATCTTCTCAATCTTTGTCTATCCATACAGTATATCACGAGTAACTCAAGTAAAAGGTGATTGAAAAGCGTTCAGTGTCCTCTGTGGCTGTGGAGCCGATCTGTGCACGGCATGAGTTAATTATAACTAGTTAGTGGACCTCACCACTGAGAAGCAACGACGACTGGCCGCCAAGATCCTTTATTAGTCCCTCAGAGATCCCGAAACCGTTAGCAGCCCAACAGTATAACTATACCTGCAGCAAGGATTTATGGAAAAGGGGAGATCGAAGGTGAATGTTCTAAACTAGGTGCTATCCCAGAACAGAGGTACTACGATCCTTTGTAAAACATACAGCAAGTCCTTCTGTACGACAATAATAAAATCAGCAGGCCGGATGTGGATCATCTTCTACTCCGTAACTAACTACCTGGAGTGATAATACGGTAAGTTAAGTTAACATAGTTATTTATAGTTAGGGCCTGTTCGGTGCGTCCGTGTGTACTCGTTCTTTTTGTACGGATCTCCACTTTTTTTAAAAAGTACAGCCCCAATATCATGACTGTTCGGTGGGCAGAGTGTCTGTACTAATAATACAGCTGCTTTTTACAAAGTACAGATGAAAATGACCAGGTGTTCAGTGGATTGAGCGGCTGTACTTGCATCTCTTGTCAAGATCTTATGAATAAGCAGTATTTAACTTCAACGGTGTGTGATAGTGTAGAATAGCACTTTTAGAGGCAATATAGTGTAGAATAGTGTAGAATAGCATTCATAGTGAAGATAGTTAACTAATATTGGTTAGAAGAAAGCTCATAAAAACGCGTTCTTTTTGAACAGAGTCCAGAGTCAGTTCAAAAAGAATGTGTTTTTGTGAGCTTCCTTTCTCCATCTCAGAGCAGTGGAATAGTGTGGTGGCACAACGCCGGCTTGCTACTAATAATTGGTAAATACACTATCCACTATTGCGTTCAAAAAGTACGGACGCACCGAACAGGCCCTTAGTTACAGCGTAAAATAACGAATGTAATAGAGAGACACGCGTTAAATTCGCTACCTTATAAAACGTGCCCGTCAACCCTCAATTTCTATCCGTCCTATTTCCTATTTCCCATTTCCGTCACCCATTGATTCATTCATTTACCGGTCTACCGAGTTTGAAAATATATACCCTTGGGAATAATTGCCCGCTCCAGCATGTATCAATCCACAGTGGTCATTTATTATCATTTGGTATGTCTTGAAAATGGCAAATATAGCTGTCAATGGTAATGGAAAGAAATAGGAAGAGAAATGAGGGAAAGGGACATCAGTATGACGACATGCCAGAGCCAGTGTATCCGTTCAACAGATGCTTCATCTGATAGAACTGTACAGGTTCAGGCTTCTCATCAGTGTCTGAAAGCGCGGCGAGTCGGGTTATTTAAGCAAATTTCCTTCCCCCATGTCCAAAGATCGTCATGTAGGCGTTGTTCCCTATTGCAAGCTGCAAAACAAGTGAAAAACAAAACATATCGTCAAACCTAAGAAGAAAAGAGATAGTTACCACAGGGTATTTTCTCGCCATAGTGTTCCAAAAGACGGGGTCAAGCAGTGTAAAACGGAGTCCGTTCAGTTCAGGGGGATATAACCAGCACGTATCGTTTCACCGTTATTCCTTTACCTACTCTCCGTGCGATCTGGGCTCAAACAGAAAAAAAAAAAAAGGAAAATGGGGATCTTTTAAAGAATGGTTTAAAGCCAATAAAAAGAAAGGAAGCAAGAAATGAATAACAAGCGTTAAAGATGATGACCAAACTCGTGTCCTTAACTGAGGCGGGCCGAACGAAATTCACATTTCCCATTCCAGCTATTTCGACGAATAGACGCCTTTTTTCTTGACCGTACGTGGAACACGCCTGCGTTTGGCAACCCATTGGCCATCCGACTCCACGTATATAATCTACTTCAGGCATTCTCTAATCAACCGAACGCCTCCCCTCCGCCGCCATGCCAGCCTATGCTCCATTAAAACACCCCTTCTATCCCATACCCATAGTCACCAAAAAGGTCTTCAACATGACCCCCATCCACGTGAACGAATTCAGCGTCGAAATTAGTCAGTTGTGGCAAATCGTCCAATTCATCCATCATGGCGGCTTGGTCTTCTAGCGCTGCTGCCTCTAGCATCTGGCCCTGCTCATCCGGTTGCTGTTCCTTTTGCTGGACGGGTATCTGTGCATGCTCCATCAATGTAGTTGGCGCGGCCGGGGGCTTTTCCATCTCGTTTCTTCCTCCGACAGTCCTGGCTCCGGTGTCAGTGCTGTGGTGGTATGGAAGGGCTGTTGGGGGTATTGTGGGTGTGTGCGAATCGCGATTGTAGTTGTGATTGTGGTTGTGTGTGGTATGATGCGGCCTTTGGTCATCTGTGATATTGGTGCGATATGCGTGTGGGATGTTTGCGTACGGGTTATTGTTACGACCATAATGCCACATTCCGTTAGCGGAGTAGCCCCCTTGTACGGGGATGGGGGCAGGGATGGCCGGATTGTTCGATGGCAGTGAGTGAGGTGGTGGCATGCCCCCATTTGGGAACGTATGTGTATTGTCCTGGTATGGTGAAGCGGCGCCGTGCAGCCTTCCTACCCCGTTCGGGTTCATGCCGAAAGAACTACCTCCTTCTTGGAACACAGCGCGGGCCATGTGATTGTTACGACTGTGATTGGGATACTCGACGTGGTGGCCGGGCTGCCGCAACATTTCCGCAGGGGGTATATGGGGAGACCCTCCATCGGATCCAGGACAGCCATACGGGGACTGGCCGTGGTGGTAGTGCTGCTGGTGAGGTTGCCCAACTGTCACAGTGCCGTATATCCTTCCTTCCCTATTCCTCACCACGTCCATTGCTACGCCCCACGTACTTTCAAGACTGCCATGCGCGGTATCGCTTGATGTGGATTCCATATTTACACTCGGCAGGCGGCGTCTGAGAGCGTTGACGTTGCCATTGCCATTGCCATTGGTACCAATACCATTGTTTTCCACAGCACGATTACCATCACAGTTCGCACTACCTCTTGGGGCTATACGGAGCCTGACAAGTTTCCGATGCGGCGAGCTTCCGCTCGATGATGAAGCGATTTTGTTACTCTGCGCGCTAGCTCTGCATTTGGGTTTGCCTTTAGCATTACCCTTGGGTTGGAATTGGGCGTTAACGTTGTGATCGTGCTTGTAGCTTGACGACAGCGGCGGAGAGCGATCGTTGGGGAACTGGAGAAAACTGGCACCCACAGCAACGTATTCCGTGCTGCTTTCGCTGCGGCTGTCTTTGTCAATATCGACGTTCTCGTTCTCCTGGGCGTTATTGGTTTTGTTTTGGTGCGTGTTTCTCAAACACGTAGCAACTGCCATTCTCTCATCGTTTGAATCTTCCGAATCGTCCGAATCATCATCGTCGTCGCTGAATTCATCGCTTTTCACCTGGTCATTAGCCATCATAGACCTCTTTGGTCTATCAATAACTTTCGCCCCCTCACCAGCAGATGTTCCGGCACGTTTTAAAGGCGGCGGAACATGTTCCCCTTCTTTTTCGAGCTTCGCACGAAGCTTCGTGAGATGCTGTGTAATTGCTCCATCCGAGATACTCCCTCCCATCAACTCAGCGACTGCTTCCCATGGCAATTTAATACCCTTGGCGCTGCAGGCACTCTGGATACAGAGGAGGAGTCTGTTGTTTAGGATGTCTATTTTTGCTTTTGCAGTTAGTTTATCCCCTGGTTTGCAGACGTGACAGAAGATTTAGCAGGAGATAGCCTATTTTATGCACGCAAGGTTTAAATGAATGGCGGGAAACGAAACCACAACTCACCATTCCAACGAACGATGTTCCGCCTCTTTGGGCGGTTTAGTGGTGGTTTTCTCGAATTCTGCCCGTTGTTTTTGCCGATTGCACTGCTGTCCTTGCGCTGTTTCGTGGACTTCGTTGTGCGGGCTGAGGTCATTGTTGTTGCTTTTGCTTTTGCTTTTTGCTGATTCCAAGGTGAAGGGGTGTTTTTACGTTTATGTTTTATTTTTCGTCCCCTGTTGTCAGGTGGATTGAGACGTGTCTGGATGAGAGATTAGAGAGATTGCAAACGCGTCGTTTCCCGCTCGTTGCTTCTATCAACGAATACAACACACGAGTATGGTGTTCGTTTCCTCTGTCTTTGTCGTCGTTCCTTTCTTCTCTATTTATTCTTTCTCCTTTATGAAATGCTTCCTCAGCCCACTGATAGACTGGCTCTTTTACAAGTCCTGCAGCTTTTGGAAGAAGCCAGAGTGGGACTAGGACAGCTGACAAGGGCCAGCTTCGACAAGCTGCGTTTTTGCAATTCCTCTCCTGACCGAGTGAGAGGTGAGTGAGAGAGAGGTTCTTTTCTCTCTGACAGGCCTTCTCCTCTATGATAAAGAGTCTGGCTATAAAGGAGCCAAAGGCTTATTATATATGATGTTCTCGTGTCGACAGCCTCAGTCGCCTGTGATGGAAGTGGTTAAGAGATGAACCAGGTATATCTTCGACAGGCAGAGTTGTAATGGAGAAGGTGAAGAAAAGAATGAAGCTGGCTGATTGCAAAAGGGATAAGAGGGTTTTGGACGAGACTCGAGTGTTGTGGAGGGAGAAGTGGATTGTTGAGCGTTGGGGGCGAGCAGGCTTGGTTATTGAGGCGGCAGCTCTTAAGTGAGTAGTTAGGTACGTGAGCCAGCATGGAAGGAGGCTCTCTAGGCTAGGGGAATGGGGTTATTTTTGCTTTTCTTCTCTTTTCTTGAACCACGAGGCATATTATGATACGACAGGATACGATTTGCTTCTCTCTTTCTCGCTTTACAGCTTCAGGAACTGACTATTTAGCTACAGCGGTCTCTGGAATCTACTTCAGCCCTGCTAGGGGATTCTTGATATATTGACATCAATATATAGACAGGGATGGGGACTTTCGAGGCGAAATGGCAGCAATGGAAGGGAATAGGACACTAGAGAACATGCACCCGTGCACAACTCGAAACCGCAAGGGGACACATAGAAAACTCCAGAAGAGGAGAGGTTGTCATCTAGCGCGGGCATTGTGAACATATGAGAAGAACAGAACAGAAGAAGAAGTCGTCCGGCCCTCCTCTACTGCAACCCGATTTCAAGTTCCCACAGCCTTCTGCAAGCAAGCATATCCATGCTCCCACCCATGCCAATCCCCTGCGTCCGACTTTTGGCGGCATCGAGTTCGAGCAACAACAAGTCACCATGAAAGTCCATTTGGAGTGTTGCCTAGAGTGGCTTTTTCCTTTTCTTTCCTGGTTTCTTTCTCCCATACTGTCGGGACACGGCAACGGTAGAACCACACCGGAGGGTTAATTCCATTTTTCCTTTTCCGAATACACAGAACAATACCAAATCCAGCCGGGATTCATTCATGTGTCCATTCATGGACTCATTCATTCAGTCAATGCTATGCTTTGCGTTGCATGCCTGGGAACAAGTGAGACGGAAAATGGGGAACTCGGGGACTGTCCCGGGAAGGACACCCAGTTCAGTTGTTTTAGCCGCATTTTTTGGGAAGGGCCTTCTCACCGCCACCCCTCCATCCCCTCCACCCCCCTCCATCGTTTTATGTCTAGCAGTTTATAGTTTGCATAAGTGGTTGGCACCTTGCATGTAAATAGAAGCATGGTGTTTCTGCGAGGGGTAATGTGGGAAAATGAAATGAATAATGAATGGACAGATGGGTTCTTATGGATTGGTACGGCAAGAGGGGGGCAAGCGAACCGGGGCCATGGCACCGGGATTGACCCAGGGTAGCGGGACCGGACCGTACCGGACGCTACGGTACGGTAGGGTAGGTACATTTCTCAGGCTAGAGTTTTGACTGATATTTGGGAAAATGGAGGGCGAGTTGAATTGTTGTTTCTATGGCGAGTTAGTGTGGTGTGGTCAGAATATGGAACAACTTAGAACAATTAGTTACCATTTTATTAGTCCATCGCATAAATAGTTCATAGTGAGGTAGACACATTAACTTAAATAAGTTCTGCCAACAGATCCAGCTACTTGCCGTTAAAGCTCGCCTAAATAAATCAGTTCGGGGAACCGCTCGAGGTAGATGTATGTACTGTACATGTACTATAGTAATAATCATGCAGCGGGTTCGTGGCAGCCGGTGATATTCCTGCTCGGCCTGCAGCCTACATAGTTGTTAGTACCTGTACTGTACGGAGTACATATTTTCCCCTTCCCGGCAATGTGGATTCTGGAAGCGCTCTTCCAAATTCCAGCGGGGACAAAGCTATCCAGCTCAGAGGCTTGGCTGCAGCGGGAAAATATTTTAGCGCAAGGCTGCGGTGGGTAGGGTAGTTAATAATAATGAGTATTATTATTATTATTACAAGCCTCAATCGCTCGCTTACGCTCACTTATTCAGCTTGAAAAACGCGCTGTTTAATCCCTCAGGCGAATGTAATGAGATATGAACAACTGCATGTGACTTGTATAGGTGAATTCCATGTAATCCACAGCTGTTAATATGTTAATAGAGAATAATCATATAGATGAAAAAGATGAATAACACTATAGTAGTGTTATAGAGTAAATGTAGAAGCTCTAAATGAGGTGTAATTAAATGTCAGACAGCTTATATAGAGAATATAGCAATTACAATCAAATAGCAAGCATTTGAAATGTTACAATTTACATCTATCAATTCTTAAAACATTGAAGCAGATAAAATGACTGAATGTAAATAGAGAACTATTAAAAAATCAAAAAAAAACAGCTCAGAAATGATGAAATTATAGCTAATAATAGTGCAGAGCAAGCTCAGCAAGCTCTAGAGACTCAGCAGCTTATGTTGTCTAGACTGGCCGCTGAGACCATGAATTTCATGTTTGGTTTCATTTGGTCTGATCTTATACATTTCTTAATATGAATCTCACTGAAACTAGTTACTAAAAAAACATGCAAAGTGACTATATATCAGATCTTAAAATGAAATCATAACTTGAAAAAAATAAGAAAGTGATCTCATTTAATCTTATTTAGTCTCATTCTTAGTATAAAGTTACTATTTTTAGACATTTTAAGATTTTTTTAGACTATTTTTAATTTTTTAAAAAGTAACACTTTTTGATAATACTTAAATAAGATTTAAAGTCATTTAAAGCAATAAAAATAATTTAAATTGAGAAGTGAAAATCATAATCTTATTTAAAAAATATAATAAGAGTAGACAGTAAGTCTCACTGAGACAGTATAAGACTACTATTTAATGTTAAAACTGTGTAATAAGATCAGTTGAATTGATAATAAGACTATTAAAAAATCTGATTCTGATCTCAGACACAGTTACACAGTCAGTCTAATGTTACCTGTCAATCTGTTTCTATCTCACTCTCAGCAGTCTCAGCAGCCTGCTAACTCATCTGCATCTGCTCTTCAGCAGTCATGCCAGCAGCCTGTCAATGTGTGAATGCCTGAATATAGACTACAGCTGCTGATAGAACAGATTGTTAAGAATAATAGTAAGATTATTATACAGCTATAAGAGATAAAGTTTAAAAGAGATATAGTACTGTATAAAAAGAATTTTAAGTCTCAGCTAAAAAGAATAATAAATATAGAATCAGCACTTGTTCACAGCTATGATATCAAAGTTATCTTATTATACAGCTCATATGAGAAGAGTTATAATCTGTTTATTAAATGTGTTATAATCTTCAGTATGTTGAAGAGAGTCTGTGTAAATTATTATTACAATTTACTAAGTAAATACTGCAGCTTGTAATTTAATAAGTAATGAATTATCTCTACAGTATGTAAATTCATTAGTAAAATATATATATAAAATGTATATACTGATATATAAATAACAGAGAATCAGCAGATTACTGTCTCTGTCAATACAATCACTGCAGAGAAGAATGAGAAGAGAAAGAGAAAGAGAAAGAAATGAGCTATCAGTATAAAGCTAAATTAGATAACTGAGCTGTCTGATTCAGCTAAAAAGAAATAGACAATATTTATAACTCTGAAGAATGAAGAGAAGAATGATGAGATGAGTAATAGTAAGATTATAAAGTTAAAGTTATTACAGCTGTGAATAAAGATGCACTGACTCTGTAAGATAGAGAAAGAGATGAAGTATTTGTATAGAAAGCAGAGTGAGACTATAAGCCTGTTACAGATAACTCAGCTCAGTCAACAGAGTGTCTCTGTAAATATTACAGTATAATTTAGAAGAATGTATAATTACTGAATAATAACACAACTGCTTCTGAACTCACTTATGAATGTAAAGAGGTCATAGCAGCCATCAGTTAATTTAGTATACAGTATATAAGAAGCTAGTGTATGTCTGTAATTATACACTGACTCAAGCAATCTTTGAATCACATCTAATAGCATGTCTAAAAACTGGTGAGAAGTACAGACTTCTTCAGAATGTGATAATTCTATCTATAAAGTAATTCATAGTTATCATGTCAGTGTGATTCTAAAAATATCTCAAAAGATAGTGTATAAAGAGTGATAAGTAAAAGAGTATTTAATTAATACTGTTTTACTTATTAAGGAAAAACTTCACACTCAGATGAATGCCATGTATGAGATATAAATAGATGAGATATGAGAAAGAGAATAAAAGTAGTGAATCAGATTTAAAGAAGTTCACTCTCTACTTAAAAGAAGAATAAAAAGAGAAGATAATTATCACTGAAGTTATATAATAATAACAGAAATCATATAATGATATAGTGATATAATAATAGATATTGTACAATTAATAAGAAATCACTGAAATAAATACCTCTTTTAGTTAATATAAATAACACTCTTCTCTACTATCTGAACTGAAAGATATGCAGAATCTCTCAGAGAATTTACTCAAAATAGTAAGAAAAACAGCTGAAATCACTGAACTGAAATTGAAGCTTCATATATATATGAGAATTCTAAACAAAATCAAGGTCTTGTGTATGC